AAAATGGAACTCTTATTTTCCTTTAAGCTTGAATCAGCCAGAAAAAAAAGAGCGTTAAGGACTGAAAAGGATGAGTCCTAACCCTTGCTCCCTCAGTTTGAGGGATTGCTGTGTGGCCTTGAGTAACTCACCATCCCTGTCTGAGCCTGATTTCCAAACTGAAAAAAAATGGAGACTGAGAAATAATCTCAATGATGTAAATGTCTTTGGTGCAAAAAAAAAAAAATCATGAACTGTTGCTTGGGAGGAACATTCAGTTGTTCTGGCCCTAGCAAAAGCTTCCAAATACCTCATCAGTTGATCAGTTGCACCTAGTATCACCTCAAGTGGAGTACTCCAGACTGAGCAAGCCACTTTGGATGTGCACATTCATTGAGTCCTGCAATGCAATGCAGATTTCTTTTTGGATCCAAGTTCAGGCAAAAAGAAAAAAAAAAAAAAAGACATTTGAGAGAGTAGTACATTCATTATAATCACCAAAATAGGCTGCTGTAAGAAGGGCCATTTAATAAAATGTAAGAAGCCCTTTTCTGAGAGATGGGTCAGGATGGAAGTCAAGTGCAGCTGCTTGAGCCGCTGCCAGTGGTCTGATCTCACCAGAAAAACTGGAGTTAAAAAACAACACACTTCTAGCTTCAGCAATTTCAAATTAACACTGCCTCTTCCTGCTGCTCTGCCCACCTCGTGACTGTCCTTGCGTTTATACCTTTCTCCCCAGCTCGGGCACCTGGGTCACCTGGAGCTGTGTGGTTGGGATGTCAGCCGGCAGTCCTGGCGACTGGAGCCCCGGGAGGCGGCAGCTACCTCTCGGGTTTAGCATTACGTCATCCCTTCTAGACCCAAATTTATCTCAGCTGCACACAGCCCCGCAGCTCTGAGCTGCTGCTGCTGACTTGAGGAGAGCTTACGCATGAAGTTAGGCAGGGCTGACTCACCAAGCAGACAGGAGGGTTTTCAGCTTTTTCTTCACATTTCTGGATTCTGGAGATGTGGGAAAGAGGCTGGCCATCTTTCTGGGTGTGTACGTGGTGGGGGGTGGGTGGTAGATGTAACATGTTATAGTTCTCATTTAGAAGCCCAGAGCTTATGAACCGCTTGTTCCAACTTGAGTATTTGAAAATCCCCTTCTGGATGATTGCAGAAAACCATGCCCTCAGCAGGCAGCACTTTGGCACTCTGCATTTCCAGGGAAGTGCCTGTAAGCGCCAGGTGTCACCAAACACAGTGACTTTGGACTTGCAACTTAACCTCATGGCTTCTTCCCCTCTCTCTGGCTCTTTCATTTGCAGAAAATATACAGAACACATCACCCTCCATTGTTGATGAAGCTGCCACAAATCACTTGGAAATTTGTGCGTAATAAACTGTGCTGGGAAAGGACCCCCTAAGGACTGACAGCTTTGCCTGGTCCCCACAGAAGGCAGATTGTTATAGGTCTGGAAGACTCTGGGGGACTTTTTCCATTTTCAAATGAAACTCCCAAGGGAGGAAAGGAGGGGCATGGCTTGTGGGGAAGAGGAGATGGGTAAGATTCCAGGTTCTTTTGTCCACAGATTCTGGAAGCCTTGCTCTCCCCCTCCTCCCCCTGCCCACTGCCTTTGTTCTGCTAACTGGATTCATCTGAGCCAAAGAGGGGTCCTGGCTCCTCCTGGGTTCTTTGTGCTGGGGGAGGCCCTAGTGGTCAATGTCCAGGCAAGGACGACACCCATCGGCTAGTAGAAAAGAGTGGAGATTTGTGAACCCACCAGCCCTTAGTGCTGCTCCCAGCCCACCAGACTCTTTCCCTGTTACCTGCAGATGGCAGCTCACCAACTGCCTGCTCTCCTCTCTTCTTGGCTCCAGAAGGGTGGTTTGTTCATCTGGAGGTCATTCGGCCCTAGGCATCTGTCTAGTCTTTCACCACCCTTTGATAGCTCTATGACCCATGCAGTTCAACGGCCCTTGCATTCATGTATATTTTCAATTTGCACCACTTTTCTTGATTGCATGTCATCTGGGTTTATTTACCTGTCACTGGGTAGAGTCGGCTTTTACTGAAGTTCCTTGGTAATTTGGGATCTGGATCTTAAGAGGTTCAATCTAGAAGTTTCTATCCTCAATCGACAGATGCTCTGAGTAAATGGTTGGAAAGTAGTTGTTACCTTCACTCAGTGGTGAAACTCAGTTCTGAAAAGATCCAGCAACAGCTGAACAAAGCATAGTCCCTTTGCAAACACCCCCACCCCAAAAATATCCCGCATGCCTCGTTTCCTCCTCCCATTTTGGGTCTCCCTGCATTTGAGGGAACAGCTAGTTGCTTCCTAAAAGTTGTGCCAACTGTAATATTTAGAAGGTCTGGCAGCAAGTTTAAACTTATAACCTCATTGGAGATCACTGCACAGAGCTAAAGGTATAAAGGAGAGAGTTACACACAGTGTGATGCCCACAAACATAGCTGAGGGTAAGATTTCCATTTCAAGAAGATTATTTCTGCAGGAGCCAAAGCAATGGCTGCAGCAAAGGGAAATTCCTCACGTATTGAGCATCTCCTGTCAGTGTAGATATCTACCAGCAGGTTAAGTAATCAGGTAGGAAAAAACAATGAACAATGACAAATACACATACCTGCTTCCCAGCTGGCTCCTAAAGTGGTCATCGCCTCTGGCCTCTGGCCTCTGGCTGGTCTTCCTAAATCACTTGCTCTCAACCAGGGGAGATCTGACTAGATCTGGAGGCATTTGGAGTTGGCATGTTTGAGGAGTGGTGGTGTGCTACTGGCATCTACTGGGGACAGTCCTGGGACTGTGCTAATCATCCTGGAGGACACAGACAGAACACCCATTCCAGAACGGGACTGTCAGTAATGGCAAGGTTAGGAAATCCTGGCCCAGCCTTGGAGGACTTGTTAGATGAAGGACGGGAAGCACGGTGTTGCTGTAGTGGTTTCCTGTCTGTAGCCAGCACCTCAGTAAAACACGGGACACTGTAGGAGGAAGCAGTTGTCAGCATAGCTTCCATTTACTCCATTTGGTTTTCAGTATATCTGGTATATACTGCATGCCAGGATCATCTCGCTGAGTCTTCACAGTCAGCGCTGATGAAGGGATGCTCCTTGGGAGCAGGGCCATGTGTGCATTTCCAGGGCCTAGCACGTGGCAGGCCTTCAGTGGCACGTCTAATAACCCTATCTGTAAAATGCGGGTTTCTGGAGCCCAGTGGAGGACTACGGGGAGGAGCAATCTTTTTAGAAATAGGATTTAGGAGCTGGTGATTGGCAGAGGCATTCAGTCAGCTCACATCGCACTGGCTGCCTGTGTGGGGTCCCGCTCCGTTGGTGAGCCGACCTCAGGCTGATGTGCACCATGGAAGGCAGCAGGTGGCCCAAGCAGGTGGGTCCCTGCCACCGATGTGGGGGACCTGGATTGGCATCCTCCTGCCTTTGGCTAGACTCAGCCTTGGCTGATGGGGGCACTTGGGGTGTGAGGGTGAACCAGCAGAGAGAAAATGGCTTTGCCTTTCAAGTAAAAATGCAAGTAAATAAAAACTTAAGTACTACGATTTTAAAAGCTGCTTGGGTGGAAGCGGAAGTGCATGAAGGAGCTATAGAAAGCCCTCTCTGGCGCTGACGAAACATCCCCTTGTTTTGAACAGCGACTGTGGCTTTTCAAGAGTTTCAGTGTGTGCTGCCCGGGCAAGTGGGGAAACTGAGGCACAAAGTTTCATGACAAACCGGTAGCAGATATCGGACGGGAAAGTGGCACTTCGGATGGGGAATGCTACAGCCTCTGGCCGCCAGCGGCAAGTCGCTGAGACTTGACCCTACCACACGGATCGCTCAACTCCTTCCCTCCCAGAAGGCAAAGCCTCGGCAACTCCTTGCGCGTCCTATCCTGGAGCGACTACAATTCCCAGCGCCCCCTGCGGAACATCCCGTAGAGGGCGCAGGCGCTCCGAAGGGAGGGGCGCCTGCTCCGCTTCCGGGCGTGCGGAGAGCCGAGGGCGGGACTACATTTCCCAGGGGGCAGCGGGAGGGGCGGGAGGGGGCGGGCCGCGGCGCTGCTCCCGCCCCTCCCCCGTGCTCGCGCCGAGAGGTAAACAAACCGCGCGCGGGCTGCGGGCGGCGGGGGCGGCGGAGAGCGCGCCGAGCCGCGGCCGGGTGGCCGGCCCGCCCGCCGCACCAGTCCGAGGGCGGCGCGGGGCTGGAGCCGCCTGCGGCGCCTCCTGTCGGCCGGGGAAGGCAGCGCGGAGCGGCCCGATGGAGCGGGTGCGGATGATCAACGTGCAGCGCTTGCTGGAGGCCGCCGAGTTTTTGGAGCGCAGGGACCGAGGTAACCGCTGGACGCCGCCGCCCGGAGCCCGGCGCCCTCCTGCTCCGCGCGCGTGGCGGGAGTGCGGTGCGGCGGGTGAGGGCAGGCGCGTGTGCGTGTGTGGAGGTGCACGCGCGTGGGAGGCGAGGCGCGAGGGGTGTGTGCGTGTGCGCGCCTGTGCCTGGCAGGGGAGGTGCGCATGTGAGGAGTTACACACGCGTGTGCGCGGAGGCGCGCGTGGGGCCAAGTGCACGCGTGAGGAGGTGCACACGCTGCGGGGCTGCTCCTGATGGGGACGTGCGTGAGACCCAGTTGAGAAGCAGGTGGTGTGGGGCCAGCCGGGTGGACGCACCTGGGCTGCAGGTGGCCAGGGACGGCGGGCATGCGAGGCGCCGCTGCTTCTGCCTGTGCTGGGAAGGACACGAGGGAGGGGAGGATGCGGGCTTGGGTTGAAGCCTGGGGCAAGCCTGGACTCCCAGGCAAGGCCTCGGGAGTGGAGAGCTGGCAGGCGAGAGGGGGATTCAGAGGCGGGGAAGCACGGAGCTCAGGAATGCAGGCCAGGCCGACTTCGTGTGGATGGGCACGTGGCTCTCGGTGGTGGCCCAGCCTGGCCTGCGAGTCTCCTTTCCTAAGGATCCAAGCGTGGGAACTTGTGCTTTGAGGCATCTGTCTAGCAGTCATATTACACCTGTTTCTGGCTCTTGCTCTCCACAGAGTGTGAACATGGCTACGCCTCGTCGTTCCCCTCCATGCCGAGCCCCCGGCTGCAGCACTCCAAGCCCCCCCGGAGGTTAAGCCGGGCACAGAAACACAGCAATGGGAGCAGCAACACCAGCACTGCCAACAGGTACCAGCTGGGGGGAGGGGGCGCTGGGTGCCTTTCTAAAAATCGTAACCTGCTTTGTGTGCAAGGGAAGGAGTAGAATCCGGCAGGACAGCTGCAGGTGCCCCTGGTGGGGTCGTTGAGTTGGGGAGGTCTGTGGCTGAGGGTGTCCATGCTAGGGGTAACCCCCAGGCCAGCTTTCCTTGCAATTTTCAAGTTTCCTTGGACCCAAGAGAGACTTTTAAAAAGAACAATCTCCTGCAAGATGTCAGGCCGAACCCAAGGTTTGTTACTGGAAGAGAGATACTCATGTCCAGTAGGATGCTATTGGGAAGAATTTCTGCGCAAGACGATTGTCCTGTGCAAGCTTTGCCTTTTATTTGCTGGTAAGAACCGGTTCTGTAGGGCCCTTAAAGCAGAAACGCGGGGAGGAGAGCTGTCCTTCCAGGAGTCTTCTGTAGGTGTGCTCTTCTGTGTGAATGTGTCCGGCTCATCCCAAGGATTCATCTCCTGTGAAGTTTCCTTCCACGGGGACCCACAGCTTCCCAGCCTTTTCTGTTAAGAGGAATTTCATGGGACCTTTGTTGCCGGTTCTGTCCACTTGGTCTAGGGCCGTAATAAGCATTGGCTCTCAAAGGGGACATGGCAGCCCTTGGTTGGCTAACATTCCCTGAGGTCTCCAGGGAGTGCTGGCAGGTGCTAGATCGCAGACCCGAGAGGTGGGAAGGATGGGAAGTCCGCAGGGCAGCCGAGAGCTGGACTGCACTTCTCACCCTGAAAGTTGACTCATAGGCATACAAATCTCTATTCCTCGTTTTCTCTAAGTGTTGGAAATCTTATTTTCACAGCAGTACTATGGAGGAGGGGGGAAATGTGACCTTACAAACATATGTACCTTGCATGTCATTTGTGATCCTTCTGACAGGTGGGAGCTGGGACCTATAATATGTAATTATTGCCTAAGTGCATTGTTGGTTTAACTGTATCCTTGGTCCTTCCGGCACACCTCTGTGTCGCCCTTGCTGAGATGGTACTGCCATTAGAGGACCTAGCTATAATAGCTCTCTGTTCTTCGGAAACATCAAGATAAGCTCAGAGTCTCAGCTTCTTTACCTGTTTCATCTTACGACTGAAACATACAAAGGTCTGTCATTTTAAAAATTGCTCAGTGAGCAGGGGCTGCCGTGTCCCACTGGTTCCTTCCCAAGTATCATTTGAAACTGCCTTCTTCTGCTTGTCAGCGTCATGGCTCACCTTACGCCTGTAATAACCTCCAGCGGAGTTTTCCTCCAGTCACAATTCTCACGAATGATGTCGGCTGACCTTTCAGTTCAGTGTGCAGCATCTCCTTCTGCTGCAAGGTCTTTGCACATATTCTGCTTCCTGCTGGAAATAATTTTTCTCCCCACGTGTGAGGTTGTCTCTTGTAGCAGTCTTCCTTCAGGGTAAGCGTAATTTACTCTTAGTAGCTCAGGTTTTCACATACTTCGGGGACCCTTACTTTTCCTTTTGTTTGTCAAATTCATAAAAACACAGATATCTGACTCTTTCTCAAATTTGTGTCCCATTCATTGGACTGAAAATTCCCTGAGGGTAGAAATTGTCTCTTTAAAAGAAAGGGAGAAATTGATTGATTGATTGAAAGAGACAGACAGACAGGGAGGTCTTCCATCTGCTGCCTATCTACCAGAGTAGACACAGCAGCCAGGGCTGAGGCAGGCTGAGCCAGGAATTCTGTTCTCTTGCACGCTGGGTGCCAGGACCCACATGCAAGGGCCACCTGCTGCTTCCTGTGCGCATTGGCAGGGAGCTGGATCAGAACTGGAGGCTCTAGGCCAGTTGAACTGTGCCACCGTGTTGGGGCTCTGTGCTCAAATGTGTATCCCGGGTACCTGTCATGGTGCCTCTAATGCAGTAAATGTGTCTTAAGGAGTGGAAGATTGGGGCCCGGCGCGGTGGCGCAAGTGGTTAAAGGTCCTCGCCTTGCACGCCCGGGATCCCATATGGGCGCCGGTTCTAATCCCGGCAGCCCCGCTTCCCATCCAGCTCCCTGCCTGTGGCCTGGGAAAGCAGTCGAGGACGGCCCAAAGCTTTGGGAACCTGCACCCGCGTGGGAGACCCGGAAGAGGCTCCTGGCTTCGGATCGGCTTCGGATCAGCATAGCATCGGCCGTTGCGCTCACTTGGGGAGTGAATCATGGGATGGAAGATCTTCCTCTCTGTCTCTCCTCTCTGTATATCCGCCTTTCCAATGAAAAATAATAAAAATAAAAATCTAAAAAAAAAAAAAGGAGTGGAAGATTTTCAAACTTCAAGTAATTGGTCTTAATGGAAATGGATTTTGTGTGTGTGTGTGTGTTGAGTAGCATATTAGACTGGAAGGAGAAAGGATGAAAGACTGTCAAGCAAGTATTATAGAATACTGTAGAATATAACCTTTTGTTTAACAAAAATTAAATATTTTTGAAAAGCAGAGAGCAGAGATCTCTCCCGTCTGGTTCTTCCCCAAATGCGCACCACAGCTGAGTCAGGGCCATGGTGAGCCGGGGGCTGGGAACTCTGTCTCCCAGGGAGGTGGTTTGAGTGCAGATGCTCGAGCCCTTAGCCGCTGCCTTCCAGCCTGTGCTTGGATGAAGAACCAGGACTCCAGCCCAGCTCATCTGCTGTGGGGTGGAGGTGTTCCACACGACAGCTTAACCATCACACCAAAGGCCTCTCCCTAGCTTTAACTTTGTTCACTGTTATCCTGTCATGAAAATAAAGTTGCTATTCAGACTTGTGTGTTCTGGGCTTGTGTGGTGGAGCAGTGCGTGTAGGCCAGCATCCGTGAGACTGGCATCTCATGAGGGCTCGTTTAAGTTCCAGATGCTCCAGTTGATCTGGCCCGTGCACCTGTGAAAGCAGAGGAAGATGGCCTGGGTTCTTGGGTCCCTGTGCCCATGTTGGAGACCTGGGTGAAGTGCTGGGCTTCAGGCTAGCCCAGCCCTGGCTAGTCTAGCCATTTGGGAAGTGAGCCAGTGGATGGAGAATTTGTTCTCTCTCTTCCTCTCTCTCACCCTGCCCTTTCAAATGAATAAATCTTGAAAAACAGAAGAACCAGAGGTGTGTCAGCTATTGATGGTGAATATTGGTAGGAGCCTGTGGCGCGTACACAGTGATGGTTTAAGGGACTGTGTCGTGCCGTGTCTTACGTTGCTAAGAAATGTCTCGTCCTCCCTGTGCATGCTGAACAATGTCACAGCAGCAGCACTTCAGCAAAGCAAGTTTCCTGTTACAAGACCTTAACTTCTCTTAAACCACACAGTAGGTGTTTTGGTCTGACTTAAAAATGCTTATTTATTGTTTTATTTGAGAGGCAAAGAGGCGCACGGAGACCTGTGACCTGCTTATTCAGTCTCTGAATGCCTGCAGACTTCCCAAGCAGCATCTTCGCTGCTAAACCTCATGCCTGGCCTTGTCTGGGATTATGTTGTATTTTCAGTCTTATGTCTCTTTTTGGCTATTTTCATGGGTTTTTACATGTTTTATTTTTGAGAGTTAGGATGGTAATGAATTCTTTCTCTACAGTAGTTAAGGAAGCATGCATTTGAGTTAATATATCTTGCATTTTGATCCTTAAACATGTTCCTGTTTGGGGCCAGTGCTGTAGTATTACGGGTTAAGCCTCTGTCTGTGGTGCCCACCTCCCATATGGATGCTGCTGTGAGTCCTTGCTGTCCTACTTGCTAATGCGCTTGGGAAAGCAGTGAAAAGTGGTCCAAAGCCTTGGGCCCGGTGTGGGAGAATGGAAGAGGCTGTAGGCTCCTGGCTTTGGATTGGCTCAGCTCCAGCCATTGTGGCCATTTAGGGAATGAACCAGTGGACGCAAGATTTCTGTTTCTCCTTCTCTCTGCAAATCAGCCTTTGAAATAGAAATAGATCTTCTAAAAAAGATCCTATTTGTTTGTAAAAGAATTGAAGGAAACTTAATTTTTATTTTTGTAAAGTTTCTTTTCACTATGCTTTTCAAATTTCCTATATTGAAGAGCAGATTCTTGGTCTCTGTCTAATGTAAAATTTGCACGGTTTCAGAATAGAACTGGGACTAAGTAACGGCCAAAGTCTTCGTGGTTTTAGTTCCAGTATTATTCTTGATTATTTTCTGCATGTTGAATGATTGATGGAATTGAAAAGTTTTTTTTTTTGAGATACTCTGCCTTCTGCAAAACAGACATAAATGCGAAATTGTCAAGAACTGTTCCTTTGCCTTGCTCTAACACGCAGGCTCGCCGTGAAGTGCTTCGCTGGAGCCCCAGTTGGCTGCTGCTGGGTGCTTAGGCTGATGTTCCTCTTTGCAGGAGTTGCTGGAGGGGGACCTGGTGTGTTTCTGTCGGTGCGTCAGCTGCTTCTGCTCCTTTTTTGGGGAGGCCTTTGTGTCGCAATACTGAATGTATGATGTGGCACACTGTGGTGTGGAAAGGGAGGTCGGTTGCATTTGGCACAGTTCTCTGCTGGTACCTGTCACTTGGCTTATGGTTAAGGCATATGTTAAGAGGTGGGGAGTTGACTCTAGGTGGTAGGTTTCTTCAGTACCAACCTGAATTTCAAGCAGTATTAGTATCGTTTCAGCCAGCTCTGATTGTTGAATGGAAGCCTGCTCTTCTAGATCTTTCTTCAGATGAAGCTGTGCCACCTCGTTTTATCATGGTACAGCAGGATTTTCAGTCGTTTCCTCTGTAAGGATGGGTGCCTTTTTAAAAATATATATATCAGCCTAAATAAATATTTGATGGTATAATTTGATAAAACATACCTCTAATCCTGTTTTGATTCCGATATACAGAGCTGATGTGATTTCCTCATGCATTTCGTTTTAGGTTTTAGGTTTTAATTTTTTATTTAAAGATTTATTTTTATTATTTTTTTTTATTGGAAAGGCAGATATACAGAGAGGAGAGACAGAGAGGAAGATCTTCCGTCCGATGATTCACTCCCCAAGTGAGTGCAACGGCCGATACTATGCCGATCCGAAGCCAGGAGCCTCTT